AATGAAATGAAGGTTTATTGCGAAATACTAAACAATTTGAAAGTCAATACAGACTGGAGTTTTGATCCGTCGACGGGAATGGCTAGAGTCGGGGAGTAATACGGGATCATTTTGGGAATTGGGTGCATGGTTTTGTGATGAATATCTAGTTTTGCTCGATCGTTGGAGCGGAGCTCTAGGGTTGTTTCAGGGCCTACTTTTGGCTTGGGATATCGGTGATCGAAGGATTATAGTTAGAGTTGATAATAAGAGCATTATCGATATGGTTATAAAGGAGTTCTTAGACCGTCGTTGGGAGGTGGAAATTATTCATGGTTATCGGGAAGCCAATTTTGGGGCGTATTATTTGGCCTCTTTGGCGGCGAAAGGACAGGGCGGGTTGCAAAAGCTGGCGAGTCCTCCACTGGGGGCGAGCATGTAGTTACATCATGATAGGATTGGCGTAGCTTATCCTAGGAGTGTTCTAATTTAGGCTTTGCGTAGTCTTTGCCTCCCTTTCTTGTACCAAAAAAAAAAAAAAAAATCCACATTCAAAAGAGACTACTTTACATGACTCTCTTTAATGGTTATTACTTATATGATTGAATAGTGTGCAAAAGTGAAAATTCTATGCAACCAGTAATGGTAGTGCAGTGACCCATACAAAATTTGACAAGTGTCATTTTTGTAACTATACACACACCCTATTTTGCTATAGGCAAAACAAAAAGAAAAAGGTTAAGAAAATATTTAAATAATGAGTAATCAACCGCGAGTTTCAGAACAAATAGAAACATTAGTAAAAATAATAAAGAAAATACAGTTAGAAACATTAGAAAAATTAAATCAAATAAAGGAATCAATAAAATTATTACATGATTTTTTGCTACAAAAAGAAAATGCACAAACTAATTCATATAAATCAAAAAGAAGAATTAGTATCGAACCACCAACAAGTATAAATGGATGATATAGATAGATTATCACAGTTATTAGAAAAATGTAATATAGAAGAAACTAGAATGGCAAAAATAGATGATGAAGATAAACAGGGAATAATATATGGAATAGCTAGTGAAGATGAAGATGAACCCACATTAAATATGACTGATCAAAAACCTCAGACAACACCACCATTGTCACCAAAACGACCTAGAATAAATAATAATGAAGCATCTAGTTCACAAAATAATTATGCAGAAAGAAGTTTTAAAGATTTTACATATAAAAGCGACTATAGTTATAGTCAAGGGAAACTGAGAAAAAATTTAACACCCTCTTATTTAGAAAAAGAAAGACATTTGTCTAACGGAATATTAAATATAGATTGTGCAACCAATGCAGAAGATTTAATAGTCACTTGGACTAATCAACTAAAATTACTAGTTCAAACTAATGATCAAATGATAAATGGAATGACATTATTAGATTTTTTCAATTATACAAAATACAAAACATCAGAAGTATTATTTGACTATCTAGATAATACTCAAATTCTGTTAAACCTTCAAGCTAGTGGCTCGAAAATAGGAGCATAATATAAAATAGCAATGTTAAGAGAATTAGCAAAAGATCTGGTAAAAGAATTTTTAGGAATCACCGGTCAAGAATCAAAAGAATCACAAAAAGATAAAATAATTAGAATTTTAACTAATATGAAATTATGTGATATATGTTATATAAAGAAAATTTGTTTTGTCAAGTAAGAGAAAATTTCTATAAAATCAAAGAGAGATCAGGTTTAATAGAAATAGTTGAAAGCAAACTAAAATATGAAATGAATAAGTATATTCAGAAAAAAGTAAGTGAAACGCAGGAAGAAAAAACTCTAAGAGTTTTAGAAAAATATGCAAAAGAATATAGAGATGAACTTTGTATAAGAAAAATAGAACATCATGAAATGACTAAAGTCGACACAAGATGTTGTAAACAATTAGACAGTGTACCACAAGAATATGGTTGTCACAAACCATATAGGAAGAAAAGATATTATAAATACAATAAGGTTAATAAACGATATAAACCAAGAAGATATAAAACATTTAGAAAACCATGGATATCTAAATATAAAGGTAAATTTAGAAAAACAAGGAAAATATTTAGGCAAACCCAAATATTGCCCTAAAGGAAAGAAGAATTGTAGATGTTGAAAATGCCAAGAAATAGAACATTATGCAAATGAATGCCCTAAAAACATACCGGAAAAAGAAAAGAAGTTAAAAATGATATTTTCTTTAGGTTATGAACCGATAGAAGATGAATATGAAGAAGGTGAACTATTAGATTTCGATATATACGATCTAGAATCAGAAACAGATAGTGATATAGAATCATCATATTCAAAAGATGAGTAAAAATAGTTCATTTATTAAAGTTAAATTATTCAATAAACTTTATTAGCATATATAGATACAGGTGCAACAATATGTTTAGCACAAGAATCAATATTACCTAGTAAATATTGGAAGAAATTGGATAAGCCAATCACGGTGAGAATTGCAAATAATAAAACAATAAGTATTGATTTTAGAGCAACAAATTTAGTATTATTAATAGAAGAAAAACGTTTTCCTTTACCAAGTCTCTATAAGCAAAATACAGGTCTACCATTAATAATTGGAAACAATTTTCTTAAGTTATATAGTCCATTTATTCAAAGATTAAACAACATTAGTTTCAGATGTCCACAATTAGAAACACAGTCTAGTAAAATGATTAATACAAAAGTATATAACACATCTTCTTTTATAAAGGGGGAGATATTAAGAAAAGTTTCATTTCAAATTTATAAAATGATAAGTATAAACTTAAGAACAAATTAACCAACTGCTAGAAAAAATATGTAGTCAAGATCCATTAGATCCAGATAAAAATACGAATAGCATGATAGTTAAAATAGAATTGATAGATCCCAATAAAGAAGTTAGTGTACCAAATAGAATACCATACACAGAAAGAGATGTAAAAGAATTTCAAGAAGAAACAACTAAAATGCTTGAAAAAGGAATAATACAGGCCAGTACAAGTCCACATAGTGCACCAGCCTTCTATGTAGAAAATCATAATGAATTAAAAAGAGGAAAAAGAAGAATGGTAATGAACTATAAAGAAATGAATAAAGCTACTAAAGGAGATGCATATAAACTACCCAGACAAGATTATATTTTTAGTAGAATAAAGAAAGCAAAATGGTATAGTACATTAGATGCTAAATCAGGATATTGGCAATTAAGGTTACATAAAGAAACTAAGTCATTAACAGCATTTAGTTGCCCACCTCAAAATCATTATGAATAACTTTTGAGTTCTTATAAGTTAGAAAAATGTTCACATGTTCATATAGCTTCTACAAGTCAAGTCTTTTAGTTAACATTTCTCAGTTTTGTTTCATAATATGACTTGGGGTACCACAACGAGCTTTCTTAAAAAGTTGATTATGTCATAAGTTTTTTTGGATACATTTTAAAAAAGGTCCGTTGAGATTTTAAGCTTGTTTCATAAGCTTCTTGGGGTATCTTTTTGTCACATCAGCTAGCTTTTCAGCTCTAAACTAAGCTATAAGCTTAAAATTCACTAATAAGCTATCAAAGAACTTATCATATATTAACTTGTGTTTCAAATAGGTTTACCAAACATAACCCAATAATATGTTTGGTAAGCAACATAAGGTAGATTATAACTTATTTAGTTAACCTATAAGTTTTTTATATTTTAGTAAGTTAGATTTAGTAAAATGAACTTTTTAAGAAGTTGTAGTTTATATGATGTCTCATTATGTAGCTTTTCCAGAAAACTCTTTTAAATTTTATTTCAACTGACTTATCAACTAATTCTAACATGTATAGTTAATATAACTAAATATTAACTTATATTANNTATAGTAGTTGATAAGTTCATTAATAGTTACAAGCTAATTTCAAGCTTTTAGATGAATAAACAAATTTATGAGATAAATTCTGGAAAAAAAGTTAAAAGCAGTTGATTGGTGCTATAGTGAATTTTTATAATTGATATCTTATGGTTTATGATTAAAAAACTAGTAGTTATAATATAAGTATTTGATAAAATTAATTGTTAAGTCAACCCAAATAAAAATTACAATAACCTAAAAAACTTATCCGATGAGATTTTGTTTTTAAATTAATATATTTACCAATCCAGAAGTTATTTAGAATAAAAAAATTTATAACTTAATAAAATAAGCAATAATTTCGCTTATGATATTTATTACCAAGGAAAACTTTACATTTAAAATCTTATAATATGTAATACGACATGACAGAAGAAAATAAATGTTGTGGCTGCGAGTAATCTGAGCAAATCTATATGTATTTTCTTTTTTCAAACATAAAGAATTAAAGACTGAAAAGCAAAAGGACAATTCTTCAACAAATAAATTAATTGTATGGATAAGTTCGCGAAACTATTGTACTTTCCCTCCGCCACGCCATTCTTAGATCAATCTGAGTTGTGATGTAGCCAAAAAGTTTGACCTTCTCTGTTCCCTGGCTTTTGTAATATTTTGAGGTTATTATCTTCATTCCTCAGCAATTCAATCAACAATATTTGAACCAAGTTCACCTCATAATTATCCTCACAAGTATTTTTAAAGTATAACATTAAAATTTGGCACATCATGTTTTCCAATAAAATAAATTTCGAAAGAAAAAAAAAATATCATTTCAATTGCAGAAGATTGTTGAATTTCGTAGTTGGATAAAACCCAAGAAAACCCCAAGAATTCAATCAACCCTTAATTGCGATAATTCCACTTTTCTGGTATTTTTTACAAATCAACTGTTATTCTCCCTAATAATATATAAATCATGCAATCAAGATTGACAGTTTGATTATTTTGTTTCAATTTATACTTTTAAAGTCTCATATATATATTTGTATATAAATCATAACCTAGAGGACCTTGATCAAATAATTGCAGACATTGATCCCTGTGATGTGGACGATTATTTTAATGAACAGAGTAACGTCCGTATGATGAGGAGCAGTTGCTAACAAAGAAATTAATAAAAAGCAAATCAAAATAATTATTATTCATTCCCAACAGTGATTATTTAGGACGCAAAAAGAACAAAAAGAAAAGCACTGGCAAAACTTTCATTTCCTCCTCCGCTTTCCCTCTGCTGTGCACACTATTGGAAAAAGAAAAGGAGGAGGATCTTGTGCCGTGGATTGACAAAAATACCCTCACCGGAATACAAATCCAAACTCCAAAAAACAAACAAACAAAAGAAGCAAAACGGAAGGCTGGTAACCAAAATTAATCCTCGTTCAAACGCGAGGCCATAATTTAAATTTAACTAAACAGGTTCAATAGCTTTATCTCGCCGGCCGGCAGATCACCGCACGTCGTCGTCAAAGACTCCTCTGAATTCATCGACGGGCTCCCCAGCCGCCGTGAGTCATCCAGATTAGGGCGGCCGTCGCTTTTCTTCCCCAAATATCCAGGCATCAAGCTCAGACCGAGATCGTCCAGCTGCGGGACCCTAGCCGGCGGCTCGTCCGGCGAACGGCGCCGCTTGTGCCTGGGCGAGGCGGAATCGCAGGTCCGGAACACCTCCGTGCAGTCTGAGGCGTCGTGGAGGTCCGGCGACCTTCCGCCGACGAGATCCGGGATCGGCTTCAGCACGCCGCCTCGGAGGACTGTCTCCACCGCCGCCTGGCAGACGTGCCAATTCCCGGTCCAGAGGAGGCCCACGGCGCCGCTCACCGGGTTCACTGTCCTCCCGGCGGCCTCGAACAGCAGCGACTGGAACAGAGCTGAGCGCGTGAGGGTATTTTCGTCAGTTCACGCTTTTAGGACGATTACAAAACGACAAACAGAAATTGAAAATAGATTTGGGGATAATTACCAGGCTGTTGGTTTTCCGGCACGGCGGAGATGAAGGACATGAGGCCGGCGCGGCCAAAGAACTTGGCGACGAAGACGGTGGCGTGGCCTTGGGCCTGGGGGCTCTCGATCCACTGTAGGCAGGGCCGTAGAATACAGGTCTCGCTACAGCCCTTACGGAGAACACGGCATCCATTGCAGCTCATATCTATCGACTCGATCAAATTTTTTGTTCATGTGCCGTCGAGGAAATTGACGATTTTTTTTGGGTTTGAGTGAGAGAGAGAGAAGATGAAGACAGAAAGAAAACTCGAGACAAAGATAAGTGAAAAATGGGTTGGAAAGGAGAAAGAGTGGTGAATATAAAGGGGAAGTGGAGAATTGGAGAAGAGGGAGTGGACCTCATTTTTTACTTTAAAATATTGTGTTCATCTTATCTTCAATCCAAATAAAATCTATGACCATAAATCTACAATGTATGCTGATTTTTTTTATATTTTATAGAGTTTGTACATATTAGTATTTAAAATAAAGGATAAAAATAAAAAATATTAATTCTACCATACTGTCACTGATTAAAAAAACTAAGTAGTACATATCTCACTTGTTGATATTTTAAAAATTATCTTTTTTTTATTTTGTAAAAAATTATCTTTCCAATAAAAGAGTTTGCAAATATTGCCTTTTCTTCTTGGTTTTTATTTATTTTTTGTATATTTTTTAAAGTTAAATAAATTGTGGAGTTAGGTTGAGTTTTTTTGTGGTGAGTGGGTGGGTGTGTGGGGAGATTCCAAAGTATTGGGCGTGAGCGGCTCCGTGTTTCCGCGGATGGACGTCTTTCAACCGTTGGATTGGGTATTGGGGCATCCTGTGGATAACGGGACTCTCCGATAGCCTATCACTTTCTTCTTATTTTCCACGCAATTCTTGATAGGCTGCCACTATATTTTGTTTTATTTTATTTTATGCTTGCTGTGTTCACGTAGGGCCCGCACTTTTTAACATTGTTTTAGTATTTTATTAATAAAAATTTAGAGGGACAATTAATTAATTAAGTTTATAGTGTATAGTATTTCTTATTCTTTTTAAATGTTATTTTGGCTTTATCAATTATTAATCAAAATAAATGTCGTTTTGTATCTTTTGTATATATATTTTTCCATTATTACCTTCATTTAGTTATAAATACACTACGTCTTTTCATATTCTCTTCATCTTTTTTTTTTAAAACATCCATCTCTATCTTCATTAATGAGGGTTATTATTGGCAAAAAAATTATTCTTAATTAGTGTACAACTTCCCAGAACGACACTAATTATGAATAGGAGGGAGTATGATGTGTCACTGACCTACATCTACGTGAACCGACTGTTGTAGCGCTCTGAGCGTTGAAAAATAACTAGTGACCTGCAAAAAGGGTCGGGAGGGTCTCCTGGCATCAGCACTCTGACGTCCAAGTTAGTACAGAAAATGAGATAATAAGTTCTGTAAATAGAGAGTGGAGTGTGTGTAGAATGTAGAGGTTTTACTGTGCTATCTCAGTCCCTTTTATAGGGGGATGTCTTGGTCCAAAGATTGGGATGCCCGATCCGCCCTGTCTTGGTCAGTCTGCACGAAACGTTTATGAGCTACCCAGTTTAGTCTTATCCTAACATCATCCTCATCACCATTAGATTCCTTTTTATATCTTCAGAACCCTTTTATTCTCATTAAGTCCTTAACTCAACCTACACTCCTAGTACATGTCGTGGTTCAAGTGTTTATAGGTCGCAGTAGGCCAGGTTGTCTTTACGAATGTCTTGTATTATGGTCTCTGCTATCGTTCTAGGGTTCACCTTCATTGTTGAATTTGGTCGTCCTCTCCTCACCAGGACGCTATCTTCCTGACGTAGATCGATATGCCTGCGATTCTTTCCTATACTCATTCCTCAGGTCGACTTGGATCTTACCTTAGGCGGTCGACCTACCAAGACTTAGTGTCAATTCGGTATAGCCCAGTCATGGATATATCAGTACTCCCCTCCCTTCCCACCCCCCCACCCCCCCAACCTACTCCATACGACCTCGACCTATCTATGGGGTAGGATGAGTGGTCAAAGTACGAAAAGTTTCTCTAACATGTTAATAGTCATTGATGCAGAACTTAAGGGACGTTTTATATCCTCGTAATGCATGTCCTCGTTTTTCGCAAAAAATCTGAACCATTGTTCTACTCGCGATTCAAGGGCTCATAACCCTTACCCTCAACTATAAATGCATCCTATGTTTCTAGAAAAACACTTTTGCTTATTCTTTGAATTTCCTTTCGCACAGTTGCAGCAATAACCATCTTTCGGCGCTCAATCCCCATCTCTGACCTCTATTCTCTGATTCCAGTGGCTGATGCACTGCAGTGCTAGCTTGTTCTTCAACCTTCACACAAAATCCTCGACATATTTTCAATAACCGTTTTCACAGTAATGATGAGTAAATCGATTTTTTCCCCTGTAATCATCTTGTTCTTAGTGTTGTTCGCAATTATTTTGCAGTTTTGTTTGTATCATGCCAATCTTGATTTTGATCTGAAATCGAGGTTTACCAGTTCAGTTATGTTTTTCACATTGGTCACTTTTCATGTTGACCTCCACTTGTAGACACTACAAGAAATTGTCAAAATGCCAACAAAAATTTTTCCGTTGGAGATTACCAACAGATTAGTAATGCATTATATATACAATTTTTATAATCGGATTACCAATAGAATACTAACAAAATATAGCAACAAAAATTATATCTTAGTATTCCGTTGGCAAATAGTGACGGAAATATTCCGTTAGTAAATACAAACAAAATACCAATAAAATAGCAACAAACTCTTTCAAAATTATATTAGCAACGAATTATTTCGTTGGTAAATAGCAACGGATTTTTTCCGTTGGCAAATAGCAACGGAATAGCAACGGGAACCTTCAATATTGTATTAGCAACGGATTATTCCGTTGGTAAATAGCAACGGTTTTTTCCGTTGGCAAATAGCAACAGAATAGCAACAATTTCTTTCAAAATTATAATAGCAACAGACTATTTGGTTGGTAAATAGTGACGAATTTTTTCCGTTGGCAAATAGCAACGGAATAGCAACGGACACCTTCAATATTGTATTAGTAACGGATTATTTCGTTGGTAAATAACAACGAATTTTTTCCGTTGGCAAATAACAACGGAATAACAACAAGCTCTTTCAAAATTGTAATAGCAACGGACTATTCCGTTGGTAAATAGCAGCAGAATTTTTTCGTTGGCAAATAGCAACGGAATAGCAACAGACACATTCAATATTGTATTAGCAACTGATTATTCTATTGATAACTAGCAACGGAATAGCAACAAACTCTTTCAAAATCGTATAATATCATTATTATTATTATTTATAACACTTACAAAAGTAAAATTCTTTATATATATATATATATATATAATGCTAAATATTTAATTTACATTAATATTATTTAGTTATGTAATTAATTTAATAATATTTAAATCAATTAAAAATAAATATGTGCCACATATGCATTCTATTCATTTTTAGAATTTGTTAAGCCTAAAAGTGAAATTAGTAATTAGGCCGTATTATCGTTGAATTTTGTGATATTGTTTTTTAATTAAAGTATTGAATATTATGATAGATGATAGATGATATTAAAAAATCATATATACATATATATGATTTTATAATTGTACTTATTATTTATAAAGATATTTAGATATATGATAAAATTTTACCAAAATATTTATTTTAATTTGTGAATAAAAATTTTATAATGACACTTATTTTGAAAGGAATATAATATAATTTTTTATCAGTTAGTGCACTGTACGAGTTGTGTATTAATTTAAATAGACACATTTATGTAATTTTGCACAATTTAAATTACATATAATATTTTCAATAAATTAATATAGATAAATTATATTATATATTTATTCCATATTTTTATTTTGTAAACATTATTTAATGAGGTAATAAATTTGAATGATAAGGTGGCCGACAAAAAATCTAGAAAATTGCGAGAAAATATATATATATATATATATATATATATGTGTGTGTGTGTGTGTGTGTGTGTGTGTATGTGTGTGTGTGTGCGTGTGTGTATACATACATATATAAATAAAAATTTATTGTGTAGTCCAAATTTGAGTTTCAAATTTAAAAGTTAAATAAGTAATTATTCATAACTTATGAGTCAATACTAACTTTGACGTAAATGAAATAGTTAATTATTTAAATTAATAAATTACTCAACTACTTAAAATTTTTTATTTGGATAGTTTATACAAAAATAAATTCATTTTAATTAACTAAACAATATAAGTTTTATAATTATACTTATTGTTTTAATAGATATTTAAATATTTGATAAAATTTTACCAAAATATTTCTTTAATGGAATCACATTGTAATTGAATTTATAAATAATTTTTTTAAAATGTCACTTATTTTTAAATAAATATTATATAATTTATTATCAGTTAGTCCACCGTACGGGTTGTTTACTATATTAAATAGACATATTTTATGTAATTTTTCACAATTTAAATTTCATATAACATTTTAATAAATTAATATAGGTAAATTATATTACACATTGATTCCATATTTTTAATTTATAAATATTTAATGTGTATTTTTAATTTATAAATTCTAATACATATTTCTTACCCGTACGCCGTACGGGATTCGTACTAGTTCATTTAACAATGTCATAAATTTATAGATACTAATATATATAGTCACTATTTTTATAATTAGACATTAAAAAAAAACACCTAATATAATTGAACGGTTAGATCATAAATAATATAGAATATTTATGAATTTAAATATAGAATATAATTTATATATATATATATATATATATATATATATACGAGAAAATAATTAGTAAATATATATAAATTATATCCTAGTGGTGGTGTTATATATATATATATATAAGAATTGTAGAATCCAGTCTCATACATTCATATAGCCTACTGGTGGTGTTACCTCTTTAATATGCAAGAGATCTTGAGTTCAAACTCTATTGTTAGGAGAATTGTGAGAATTACTAAGGATTATATTGGTGGATGGCCATGGGTCATGGTGAGCCGTGTGGTTCAAGGTAGCCATGGGCTCAAGGTGAGCCAAGTTGGATCAACAATATTATAATTTTTTTTATTTTTATTTTTTTGCTGAAAAATCCGTTGGTAATCTGTTGGGAAAAGTCCGTTGGCAATCCGTTGGGAAAAAATATGCGTTGGTAATCTGTTGGAAAAATTCCGTTGGGAAAAAATATTAGTTAGCAATCCGTTGGGAAAATTTCGTTAGTAATCCGTTGGGAAAATTCCGATGGTAATCCTTTGGAAAAATATCTGTTGGTAATCTGTTGGGAAAATTACGTTGGAAATCCGTTGAGAAAAATCTGTTGGTAATCCGTTAGTATATTCGT